AGATCACTAGACTTGGAATCACGAAGACCTGAGTTGGAATCTGTTCTTTGAAATATAATACCTGTGTTACCCTGTGCAAGTTGCTTACCCTCTCTCAGCCTCAGTTTCCTTTTCTGTAAAATGAGAATAATAAAGCATTGATCTCACAGGATATTTATGAGGATCAAATAAGATAATAACAATAATAATGAGAGTTGTTATAACTAATATTTATATAGAATTTACTATGTGCCAAGCACTTTATAATTATTATCTCATTTGTTCTTTACAAAAACCCTGGGATATAGGTGCTATTATTATCCCCATTTTAAAGATGAAGAAACTGAAACAAATAGGGGTTAAGTGATTTGCTCAAGGCCATGCAGTTAGTAAGAGTATCTGAAGCCACATTTGAACTCAGGTCTTCCTGAATCCAAATGAAGCAAAACTAACTACCTGATATAATATAGATAAACTGCTTTGCATAAGTTTTAGAGCTACTTAAATGCTAGCTATTGTTATTATTATCATCATGATAATAATGTGAAAAAAAGAATAAACAGGAGAAAAAGGAGGAGGAGGAGAAGAAAAAAGGTAAAAAAAAGAGGAGGAGGAGAAGAAAAAAGGTAAAAAAAAGAGGAGGAGGAGAAGGAAAAGAAGAGGAAGATGATTATTTTGCAGATGGGCCAACAGAGATGGAAAGAAGGGCTGTTATTTACTCAAGGTTCCAAGGTCAGAAAGTAGCAGGACCAACATTGAAATATAGCATGACTGACTCCAGATCCAACATTCTTTACACTATAATGATAGTTCCTATTTCGATAGCACAATGTGGTTGATAAAGATTCTTCCTCACAATAATCTATTGAGGAAGGTAGTACAAACATTATTATCTTTCTTTTACAAACGGGCAAACTGCATCTTCAGGAGGTGCAGAGAATTGCCCAAAATCCCAAAGAAAGGATCAGAACAAACCCAGATACCATAGTTCCAGGACCAACATTCTTCAGCTGTACTACAGTACTTCTATAACAGTAAAGTAATAAAAGTTTAAAAAATTCCCAGCGTAAGGTTTATAGAACATCAATAATGATGATGATAACATATCACATTTATAACAGGGCTTTCATGAGTTAAAAAAAAATCACTTTACATGCATCGTTTCATTGGATACCCAGGGCAGCCATGTGCTGATTGGTCTGTAAACATGATCATCATCATTTCATTGATAGGGAACCTGAGCTTCAAAGAGATAAAATTACTCTACAATATAATATATAATATACACACATGCATTATATGTTCCTATTTGTAAATGTAATATATTTATGCATGCATATGTACTTATATGCATATATATATTTCTTGGATGATATATATGAATATATATATTGTTTTTTTCCCTTTCCACCCTACTGAGTCAAGTTGAATGAATTAACATGCTCAGAGTCTTCAGTGAATAGTAATACAAGGGAAGTACAGATTTTCACACTTACCTTTGAAATACTTAGGCACTTAAATGGTGTGTCGCCCTTGATAAGTCACTGAACTTCTTTCTGCCTCAGTTTTCTTGCCTATAAATGATGATAATAAGAGCACCTACCTCTCAGGGTTTTGTGAGGATAAAATGTGATAAAATTTGTAAAGCACTTTGCACAGTACCTGGCACATAGTAGGCCCTATATAAATGCTTATTCCCTCCCTCCCTCCCCTCTGTCTCAGTTTCCTCAACTGTAAAATGGGGATAGTAATAGCACCTACTTTTTTTTATGAATGTCAAATAAGATAATATTTGTAAAGTATGTATCCCAGTAGCTGGGATATAATAGATGCTTGATAAGTGTGTTTTCCCTACCCTTCCCTACCCCCACACTCCAGACCCAGTTCTTAGTCCAGTGTTCTTTCCATTCTGCCACACTGTCTATCCAGCTATAGTCAAACACAGGGTGACAATGGAAAGAACATTATTTGGATTCAGCCTGGGGGTCCAGTTTGAATCACAATTCATTACAATCTTCATGAGCCACTTTGAGCAAGTTGTACAATCTCTCTGGATCTTGGCAAGCTCATATGTCAACTGAAATCATTCAATGAGTTGATTTCTAAGTTCTATATCTTATAATCTAGCTCTAACTCCTATAATCATGTGATTCTTTATGTGTATATGTGAATCTCCATATATAAACACATGCTGTATACCATAAAGAATACATGTATAAACTGCAGTTTCATTATATAAAATAAATTTAAATGTTTCTAATGACTGGTCTCCTGGAAGTTACCGAGTTCCTTATCACAGAATTTAAGGAATATCAAGGCAATCCCTTAATGTGGATTTGTGTTTCAACCAAAAAGTGTAATAGATAACTCCTGAGATCACTTCCAAACCTGTACTATCCACACAGAAGGCACTCGAAAAGTATTTATGGAATCAAATAAAATTGAGATCCTGATCTGATTTTATAGATCCTGATCAGAATATGTGATTCTTACTTGGACCAAAATTGATTTCGTAACGATATAGAAGGACTTCACATAATTTTAGCCTATGACTATTATGTTCACATGCACAGTTAAACCTGAGTTAATCCATACATTTTAGTGTGGTCAGCTAATGCTTGTATAGTCTAAAGTCCCTTTTTCTCCTCTCGACTTCTCTTTTTTGGTTGCTTAATGTATTATGTCAGGACAAGCTGAAAGGGTTAGTTGTTAAGATTCTGTGCTATTGTGCTGAAGAGAGTCACTGAACTATTTCCATCAAACTCATGAAATTTTAATTTGATATTCATGGATTGCTCTGAGCTGGAAGGAACCTTAGAGCATAGAATGTTAGAATATAGAACACTAGAATGTAAGGGCAGGAAGAAACTTTAGAACATAAAATCCCAGGATATAGAGAATAGAAGGTTGGTGCAGGGAAATAACTTTGGGAAATAACATGTATGTATAGTATGAGAACCATTTCATTAGTTTTACTGAGGTATCTTTCTCCTGCATATCTGTCATATATGTATGACATTCTCTATTTATGCATCTTGCTGATTTGCATTTCTAGAAGTTTTTTTTTAACTAGGATTTCCAAAAAATCACGTATCTGTTAGTAATAATAATAATGATAATGATGATGAGTATAGTGAGGTTGAAGCTGTTATTAATATTTAATTAGGGAAGGAGAAGTTATCTCCTTAAAAAAAATCTGTTTCAACATTTTCCTTTTGCTACCTCCATTTGCTTTATCTTTTCACCTTCCCCACAAATGTATTTGATTAGCTACTGCTTTAAACTTTCCTTGGAAAAGCACACGGTACCGGAGGCTGATATTAAAAGTCAAACTCAATCGCTGGTTTCATAGATTCTATATCCTCTCAGTTACATCCCTAAGCATCTTCAGGGTGAGCTGAAGGTGAAATGAAAATGGAATTATCCACTGGCACCAGGGGCCAGAATAAAGAACTATAAAGCCCCATCAAATGGCACTTGAGGAAAATAGAATTGACAATAGCCCAATAAAAACACTTTACTAATAGGCTATCCATTTTAGTTTTGGCTTATGTCTTATTTGATTGGAGAAGCTTGACATGTTGCTTCTGTTTGTCTTTCCTCAGAGAGGGTCCAGGGTTTGGTTTGATTTCATTTATTCTGATAAGCTGAGCAGAAAGATAAGGAAAGCCAGGAAAAAGGAAGAAAAAATAACCAAATAACTTCATCATCTTTTTAAGGGTCTTCAACACAATTAGTAACCTCTCTTTTCAATACATACTGGTAAATACCCTGATATACATAGGCCCTTGTTACCACATGCCTGAACTACTGTATTCTAATTACTGCTCTAACCTCCAATTAGTTTCACACGTGCCTTCAGAGGAATTGCTTTTATGCAATAATTTGTTCATGTCATTCTCTTGTGTGTTATTCTTTAACAAGAAAAAAATATATTTGTTCACATCAAAATTCAGTTATTAAACAAAAATGGGGGAAAAAGAAAAAAAAAACAGACCATAGCAGTTGTTACACAGTGCCTTGTGAACATGATGGTTTTTGGAAGGCAGAAAGAAAGTCAGTCCTGGCCTATGTCCCTCAGCCTTTAATGGATAGAAAGTCTTTGTCTACATATAAAGTCAGTTCTCAATGTTCACAGATTTTTAATGACTGCACCTGCTAGGAGTATAACATTGTAATGGTTTCCTCTGGCATTTAAGGTCTTCAGTATGGTGCTTCTCTATATACAGGCTATCTTTCACTCTACTCTGCTTCAAAGGATACTCTCCAGCCTCTCCTAAACATATCCCAGATGTAATCGTCTCTTCATTTTTGCAGTTGCTTTCTCCTGTGCCTGAAATGTCATTCTGTTTCTAGATGAAATCATGTTCATCTTTCTTAAGGATGACTAAAAGCTACTCCTTCACAAAGTCTTCTTTAATCCCCCAGTCAAAAATGTTCTTTCCTTCTTAGACCTCATAGAGTACCTTGGACCTCACCGATGTCCTAAAAATGTTGCATATTATCTTAAATGTCATTCTAAGTTTCCATCCAAGCTCAGAGGCTCTTGGTGACATAGTGAATAGGGTTTCCTGGAATCAAGAAGACCTGGTCTCAGATACTTACTAGCTGTGTGACCCTCGCCAAGTCACTTAACCTCTGTCTGCTTCAGTATCCCCCTCTATAAAATGAGGATAGTAACAACACTACCTCCTGTGGTTGTTGTGGCGATTAAATGAAATAATGTTTATTGAGCACTTCGTAAAATGTTTTGTGCTGAAGAAATGCTAGCTATTATTTTTTTGTGTGTGGTGGTAATGATGATGATAATGATAATGTTCCTTGCGGGCAGGGAACCTATCTTATTAAATTTGATTTTGTACCCACTTACTCTCTATTCACTCCATCAGGACACTGTAGCAGAAACTTGAGAAAAGTTTGTTGTTGATCTAAATGGAGACTTCAAGAAAAAGTTATCTCTTACAGAGAAAGCTGTGCTATGTCATTGGGACTACTGAAGATGTCCCCTTTCTCTTCTACAGGGAAGTTTTTATACACCCTCTGAGAACTGTATGCAACATGCATACAAATGGCACCGGGACCTGTGTCACCTGCTCTTGAACACATACCAAGAACTATATGTTTACTTCCTCATCCTCATGAAGGACATCCCAGATTTCCCACGAATGAAGCTGGGTAAGTAAACTTGTATTTCTACTTACCAACCATCACTATAGTGTGGGCATTTTTGGTTAGCTCACAGGTCTGATATTTAATAAGAAGGTTATATTTTATGATATTAAGGAAGAAAAAAAAGAAAGAACTTAATACAGATAAAGAAAAAGAGAATGTATTATATCTGAAAGTATACTTGTTATTTATTCATAATCATTCTCTTTATATTTTATATTTTGTGTAGTGATATGTTCATGTCATTCTCTTGTATACTATTCTTTAACAAGAAAAAAATACATTTGTTCACATCAAAATTCAGTTACTGAACAAAAAAGGGAGGGAAATAAAAAAAAAACAGACTATAGCAGTTGTTACACAGTGTCTCATGAACATGATGGTTTTTGGAAGGCAGAAAGTCAGTCCTGGCCTATGTCACAGTGTATTGTGATTGTAACAGTGATTGCTCGAGGCCAGTTTTACAATTCATTTCTCCCCTAGGGCTCTCTGGATTGGGATGAGTCTCCCATTTCTGCCTTTGCTCAAGCCTCTACCAATTGTGTCCCTTCCACTTTTAGGGATCCAAGCACCCAGGTTGCATTTAACCACTTAACAGGTTAGCTTTTTACAATTCAATATTTACTTTAAAGGTTTAGCAATAAAAAAAACATTGTCCCCAGAACCTCAGAGACAAAATTCTATCCTCCACCAGCTCAGTCTGTGGAGAGGGGAAAGGAGTTAGGTCCGCAGCTTAACTCAGTTCTTATGTAGCTTAGCCCCACCAAGTAGCAAGTCCACAATGCCCTGTTCAAACCACAGTCTTATTTTTGTGTTCGGTTCTCAATGGCACATGTTTGGGAGAATATTCATAAACTGAAGAGAACTCAAAAGAGAACAACCAGAGTGAAAAGGACACTTGAGGTTAGGCCACATGGGTATCAGTTGAAGTAACTGGGAATGTTTAGCCTGGAGAAGAGACTCTTCAAAGGGAACATGATAGCTTGCTTCAAGCATTTTCAAATTTACAAGTTATCACATAGAAGAGGGATTTGACCTCTTTCAAGGTCAATGGATGAATTTTGCAAAAAGATAAGTTTATCCTTGATATAAAGGGTAAAAAATAAACTTTCCAACAATCTGAACTACTCCAAAATCAAATGGACTGTCACAGTAGGTAGTAGGTCCCCTTCCATTAAAACTCTTCATGGTTTGGACTAAGTGACTTTAAAAAAATACTTTCCAACTCTAAAATGCTTTGATTGTATAAAAAGGAATAACGACACCATAAATAAGAATAAATGGTCTCTTAGAGTGCTTATGATTATGTAGCACTTTATACATATTTCATTTGATTTGATCCCCACTCCAATCCTATGATACAGATGGTAGAAAATATTACTTCAGTTCTTCTTCAAGCATCTATGACATTACCAGAATCCCTCCACCAACACAGGTATAGAATCATAGGTTCATAGATCAAATTAGGCTTTCAGAGACCTGGCCCAGGTGGTACAAAGCCACTGAGTTATGAATTCCCCAAAACTATGCAAGTATTTGCCAATATATTCCCCCTTCTATCTTTCTACATACCTTGTTTCCTACCTCCAACGGTTCAATGTATGGATGGTGCAGTGCTGGCTGGTCGAGAACCTGTGTTTTCTTGGTGTTGTCAGGTCAAAATCAGCACAAGTGACAGTTGATTATATTTTGTTGTATCTCAGTCTCAGAGGCTGCATCAAATGCACAAATACCTGTGAGCAAAAAGTTGTGCACCACCTTCCCTCCACTTTAGACTTGGCTTGTAGCCTTTTCAAGTTAAATAATTTATCATCAGTGCAGTAGCTAATCTTGATATCCTCATTGGGCAACATCATTGAAATGTCCTGCTAAAAAGCATAGGAGTAAGCACATAGCTCTGCTTCACTCCATTGGTGAGTGGGAAACAACGAGAGCATCTTTCATTATTCAGAAACTGTGCGAGCATGTGATCATAGAGTTGGCGTACAATACTGATGACCTTCTCCAGGCAACCAAATTTTACCACGATCTTCCACAAGACCTCACAACTGGCAGTATCAAAGGCCTTGGTCAGGTGTTTTGTACAGACCTCCTCTCCTGGAGGTGTTGGGCAGCAAACACCATTCCTCAGCCCTTTCAGAAGCCACACTGCCTCTTGAGTAGATGGTCATCTTCCAAGTGAAGGATCAGCCTATTAAAGAGTACTCTGACAAGAATCTTGTTGACAATGATTAAGAGAAACCTCCCCCCCCTCAACCCCCCCCCCCCCCGTGATTGTCACAAAATGACTTATTTCATTTAGTCATCTCGCCTTGGGGCCCACCACTTCTGTTGATTGCAGATGTTTAGCTTGGAGAGGCTAAGTCTGTGATTGGTCCAGCATTCTTCACCACACATCACCTTCGTCACTCTCACAGACAGGCTTTTGTAAATAATTTTCTATCACAGGACATATCTCTTCAGTCTCATGATTTACTAAAGATGTGTAGAAACATCCCTTAGTTAACTTAATTAAAAAAAACTTAATTAACAAGTTTGATTAAGACTAAGACTGATAATGACCATGCCTTCCTTCTATGTAGCTTTTCCTCCCTGGATGTATGTGTGTGTGTGTGTGTGTGTGTGTGTGTGTGTGTGTGTGTGCGCACCTGTTCTCTTTCTCTACTCTTCCCTATCTTGTCTCATTCCTCCATCTTTTTTTCATGGATTATTATCCATTTTCTACCCCCTTTCTAACCCAGGACACTGACCTTCCCTTTTTTTTTCACAACTTTTCCTATCTCAATGATCTCATCCGCTCCCATTGGTTCACCTTTATACAGACAATTATCAGGTCTCTGTGTCCTGTCCCAGTCTCTCTCTTGAACTTGAGTCCTATGTGGCCAACTTTCCATTGGGCAGTTCTAACTGGATGTCCACTGGACTTCTCAAAAACAACTTGTCTGAAGTATAATTCATTTTTGTTTTCTCTAAACTAGCCTCTCTTCCTAAGTTCCCTATTTCTATTATTGTTGTTGTTCAGTTATTTTACTAGTGTTAGATTCTCTGTGACCCCATTTGGGATTTTCTTGGCAAAGATACTGGAATGGTTTGCCACTTCCTTCTCTAGCTCATTTTACAGATGAGGAAACTAAACCAAATACGGTTAAGTGACTTACCCAGGGTCACATAGCTAGTAAGTGTCTGAGGCTGGATTTAAACTTGAATCTTCCTAACTCCAGGCTCAGCGTTCTATTTGTTGTGCCATCTAGCTACCTCATATTTTTGTTGAGGACACCACTATTCTTCTGCTCACCCAAGTTTGTAACCTTGGAGTAATTCTCAACTCTTGCCTCTCCGTCACCCTTCATACTGAATCATTTATATCTCCATAATATATCTCACATCTGTCTACTTTTCACCATTTGCATGCCTACTGTACTAGTTCAATCCTTAATAACCTCTCAACTGAAGTACTGTAATATCTTCTAAATTGGCATTCATCTCTTCACCTGCTTACCTGGAAAGCACTATCAACTCAGTCCTAAGGAATCCTTGGCTTCCTTGAATGATCAGTTCAGCTCTGACCTTCTACAGCAAGAGAATCCTGGATCAAATTGCTATTGCCCTTTCCCCAAAAAAATCATTTTGTGTCAACTTTCCATGTTTTGTGTTTAATTTTCTGTGTACATGTTTTCTGCCAATAGAATGTAAGTCCCTTGAGCAAAGGAACTTTCTCATCTTTGTCTTCAAGCTCCAAGTACCTAGCACAGTGCCTGAGGGCACATAAGCATTTAATAAATATTGTTTAACATTCATGGTACGCAAAAGTTTTTGTTGTTTGTTGATTGCTATTAACTTTTTTTTTAGTTTAGTAGAGTAAAATGTATTCTTAAAACCTGTATTGAGAAGTTTTTTTGTGTGAAAATATTAAGGTCACATAAGATTGCTTAGTGTGGTGGCCCACTCTAATATTCTCAATTACCAGGGAGGCTGCAGCTAGCAGCTGCAGTGGGCTATGCCAATTGGGTGTCTACACTGTATGTTATCAATACTTTGATCCCCCAGAAGTGAGAAGACACCAGGTGCCCCAGGAAGGGTGAACCAGCCCAGGTCAGAAACACTCCTCTTCCTGAGTTCAAATCTGGCCTCAAATACTTACTAGCTGTGTGACCCTGGGCAAGTCACTTAAACCTGCTTGCTTCAATTTCCTCATCTATAAAATGAGCTGGAGAAAGAAATGGCAAACCACTCCAAGAAAACCCCAAATGGGTTCATGAAGAGTCAGACACAACTGAACAACAACAACATTGATTAGATTATGATTCCAGAACAGTAAAAGAAGGAAGGTCCAACAGCTTGATTTCTGATCTTGGAATTAAGGTGGCTAGTGAAAAAATGTCTAAACTTATTCCTAGGATACTTAAGGGTTGTTATAGAATTTAACAAAAAAAAAAAAACCCTTTCATGGACACATGGAAGGATCTGTAGTTTAGCATCTTCATTTTAATTAATAACTCTTCAATTTTACTTTTGACCTCAGTTTCATTTTCTGCCTTTGTTTTTCCTCCCATAGAGAAACTTGCTGTTGAAGAAACATTATCTCTTCTGTGTTCAGAGCTACAGGTAATTAGTGAATTGGATGTATTGTATTTCCTTAGTGTTGTATGGCAATAGATATATTGGGAAGTCAAGTGACAGTCTTTTGTCCAGTACTGAGGTCAAAAAGAATGAACACAAACAAGAGAGTAAGGTAAAAATAGACTGCAAAATTTCATATTTGACCTTAAACTGATATCATCCCTCCACATTCAATCAGTCAATCCATACTGTTTCAGTATATATGTATATGTCTAAGTATATGTATGTATGTATATGTGTGTCTGTATGTGTATATATGTGTATGTGTGTGT